TTAAATAAAAATCGACAATTTTTTGATCAACTTTAACTCCTGCTAAAATAACTAGATGGAACTTAGCTAACAAATAAATCTCAAATTACGGAATGACGAACAGACAAACAAATTATCGACAATTGCTTTTTTTCTTAAAATATGTTTCATAATCCGAACATACAAAGAGCATGCTCAGAAAAGTGAGCATATAAGTGAGTTCACTCAAAAATTATACTCATGCAAGCTCATTCAACTGAGCATGCTCAGGAGTTCATTACGAATGTACTCACTTTATTTTTTTGCAAAAAAAAATATAAGCTCACGTGAGTACATTCAACGAGTGTACTCATGAGAATATTAAGAACATACTTATGTGAATTCACTCATATGAGTTCACTTATTGAATATACTCATGAGCATACAATTAGCAAACTCACTTCTGTGTCACACAATTTTTTTTTATATTCTCATATGAGTGCACTTACTGAATTTATTCAAAAGCAAATTGTGTACCTTTTTTAAAAAATGTCAGCTAAATCGAAAACGTTAAAATAATGATTTTTTAAGGAAGCTGACGTTTATAAAAATTTCAGCTAAATCGAAAACGTTAAAATAATGATTTTTTAAGTAAGCTGAGGTTTTTAAAAATGTCAGCTAAATCGAAAACGTTAAAATTGGTGCTCAATAAGATCCAAACTTCAAAGAACTTAGTTCGCCTGTAAAAATATAATAATTTAAGTATGTGTTATGCCATACATAAATTATTATATATTTACAGACAATAGTTCCAAGGAAAAGTGTGAGATGACAGAAGTTAAGCAACGCAGAAGATATTTCAACAAGGATGGGTGACCATATTTATATGTTTCATTCTAAGTATTTGAGATAAAGTATTAATAATTTGTAACTCTTTCAAAATTATTCACAGAAATAAACGGAACAGAACTTAATTTCAGCTAACCTATATTACTCAAATTTAGCTTAATTAATTTTTTGAATTTTGCAACTTCACTTGAGTGCACTCATTAGTGTGCTCAAATGAGCATATACTCATAAATATACTCACTAAGTATATATTATTTGAGTACGTTTATGAGTATGTACTCTTTGAGAATATTTATAAGTATGTACTTTTTGAGAATGTTCATGAGTATATTCAATAAAAATGTTACATGAGAAAAATGTTGCATGTGACATGTTACCTTCTCATTTGAGTATGCTCATGAGTTAACTCAATGAGCTTAATATATGTCACTCAGGAATGTACTCAATGAGCATGCTCAAACAGGTACCGTAAGCGCATCACTGAAACGTATGAAAATGAGCACATTCTCACAAAAGCTATCAAGCTCATAAATAGTATGCTCTGAGTATGCTCATTGTATGTTCGGATACTTAAAAGATTTTTTTTTCACTTTTGGTTGAGAATATACTAACGGTCATTTTATATTTAAATTATGTATAGAACTTTAATTAGTTTATTTCTCCTTGTATAGTTGATAACCCCTTTCATACGAATATTTAGTCTGTTTCTAATCGTCTAATAATAAATTTCTTGTTATTACTTCCAAATCCGTGAGGATTCTTAAATTAACTTATTTATAAACGAACATTCCGATTATCAAACCAAAAAAAGATTATGAGCCCAGGTGAGAGTAAAATAATTAAAGTGAAAATAATTCTGAAGATAAAACACTCGTTAATTCAAAATGGCGGCATCATATGAGAAGTTATTTGAGAGATTAAATAATTCAAATTATCGCGACTGATCCTTACGGATGAAGATGTTATTGATAAGAGAAGGATTGTGGAAATATTTTGATCCAGAAACTGAAATTGGTGAGGAAGAACACATTGCACATTGTGAATGTAAAGACGATGCAGCTTTAAATTACCTACAGACCAGAATCCCCCACAAAATGAAAATCAACGGTTTCTAAAACCACCACTTAAAAATGTATGTGGTTTTTCTTTAAAACAGTGTATTTCATAAACACCACATTATTTCCAAGTGGTGGATAAAATCACACGTGTGTTTTTATTCACCACGTACAATTGCAAGTGGTGTTTCTGGAAACACATGTGTTTCATATCACCCGAAAATTTTGTCTGTGTGCGTTTTGGAGATCAGTGAAATATTTTTTGAAGTTTAAAAAATAGTGAAAAAATTAGGGTTTATTTCGTTTATTCTCATTTTTTTTTAAATGCAATTTTAGTTTTTGTATTTAAATCAAAAATTTTTCATGATTGTGGCTGGGTACTTTGCATTGATATACACTGGGTCATGCAACTGAAATCAACTGTTTAATATATGTGGTGTATATGAAATATACTGTTTTCCAGAAAAACCACATACATTTTCAAGTGGTGGTTTTGGAAAGCCGTGATTTTCGTTTGTGGGGGCTTCTGGGAAATTTGCGTGGGGAATCTGGTCTGTGGGTGATTTAAAGCTGCATCGTAAAGACAATATCACAGGCATACATCATACAATTAAGATTTTGGAATCATAAGACGGAGAAGTATTGAAGGTCAGTAAGAGCTTTGTGTGTCATTATTGTGACAAACCGGGTCACATTTGTCGCAACTGTTATTATTTTATTAAATATTCAAATAAGATTTTGATTGCAGAAAATTTTGATGCTACTGTTGCTAATAGTAATAAAATTAAATGCTTAGGTATTGGAAAAGTCAATCTTACTTTATTGGTTCATAACAATGAACATATAATACTTTACATGATGAACTTTTGGTGCAGTCATTGGACAGTAACTTACTTTCAGTTTCTAAGTTGTGTGGAAAAGGATTTGCTGACTCTTTAGGTTGTTACCTTGAAAAAGAGAAATAGCGTTTACGGAAAGCTGATAAATCATAGAGTTTATTTGTAGCAAATACGAAAGTTGAACGTTCTAATTTAATTAGAGCTGATAAGGACGGTTTCTGTTTATATGAGTGGCATCTTAAGCGTGCACATAGAAATATTCAAGACTAATGTTTCCAAAGCTATGAAAATATTAGGTTTGAGGATTAGAGACAGTAATTGTACAGATATTTGTGAATCGTGCAAAGATTTATAGGAGTCCATTTCCAAAACTAATGATGATCTTGATTGCAAAGTAAGTGATATTTGTGGCCCTATGCCAGTTACATCATTGGGAAGATGTCGTTATTTTGCCACATTTATTGATGAGCATTCCAAATATTCTGCAGTATCCTTTCTTAAAACTAAAGATGAAGTAGAGTCAAAGGAATATATGAGCAACAAAGTACAAAATTATTTGAAAGTGAAAGGTATTAATTACCAATGTACTGTTGTTTATTCACCTCAGCAAAGTGGCATTGCAGAACGTAAAAAAGAACTTTAGTTGAAGCATGTAGGGCAATGCTTTCTGAATCAGAGATGCAAAAGGGATATTCTAAAAGACTAAAAGGGAATATTCTTCAAAAAGAAGCCAAGACTCGTAGACTTTCATGAATTGAAAGTCAAGAGGAACAAATTAGATGATAGAGCTGAGAAACTTGCATTCGTTGGATATGATGAAACTCAAAAGGATTTCGCTTAGCTGATGTCAAGAAAAGAAAGTTGTAATATCCAGAGATCTCGTATTTTAAAAGAAAAATTTATGAAACAACAAAATAATTTGACTGGCTCGAATGCTGACAACACAAATGACGTCTTGCTTCCATAAACATCTGATGTTGAACAGCAACAACAACAACCACAACCCGTAAGGGAGAATGATGAATCATTTCACGATGAAAATGATTTTAATGAGGAACCTGAAGAAATGAATTTGAATCATATGCACAAGCAATTAACTGTCTAGATGCAGATAAGTGGAAACAAGCAATGAATGAAGAATTACAGTCAATAAATGAGAATGAAACTTGGACTTTGACTGATCTTCCCGGTAACAAGAAAGCAATAGGATTCAAATGGTTGTATTAATTGAAATATGATGATCAAGGAAATGTATCCAGATATAAAGCACGATCAGTGAAGCGGCCACTTGGATATACATCAAAACGTGAGGTATGCGAGGGCAATTCTTTGGATGACTTATGGAAAATTTTCACTGAAACTTTTTCAGCAAAAAAATCGAAATTTTATTAATTTTTCCCATCAGAGACACTAATTTTAGGATTCTTATCGATGTAAAAATCTAAAATGTACAATACTTTTGACATCATATAGATATCACTGTATTAATTAAGATATTTGGATTCTTTAGTCTATAACTCGATGACAGAAATCGGAATTTTCAATTTTCATCATCCGAAGAATCGAAAATTAGAGAAAACTATTGATATTAGTGTTAAATAATAACTACTAAAGTTAAAAGTTAAAGAGTTATAAAACAGACAAAAATCTACAAATTAGTTGCTTTTCTGTATGCTTTAAGTCATTAATTAATGAAATATTCCAATTCTTTGAAACATTTTGTTGTCATCGAGTTATTAAAAAGCTTTTTTTTCTTCCTAATCCGTGAAAAAATACTCCGTAAAATTTTCAATTTTTCACTTAATTTGATTCAGTTACAACATATATAAGGATCTTAGTTTGCTTTGAACGCACGACCGAACAAAGTGCATTATTAATCTACCTTTTAGAAAACAAGTTATTAAAAATGATTAAAAAAATATTCAAATTATTGAAATATTAATGAAAATTATTTGCAAATAACAAAAAAAAAACAGAAAGAGTATTTAAAAGCTCTTATAATTGAACAGCCACGACAAAAATACAATAACTTTTAACTAGTTGAATAAAATCTATAGCAATTTAAAACTTAAATATGAATATGAATTATAATTAATAAAAAAAATTAAATTGAAAACTTTTTTAAATCTTAAATATATTTTTAACTTGCATATGTATTGAGTAACATGGAACCATACAATTTTTCTGCAACACAAATAAGTTTAATTTGAAGAAAAAAATTAATTTATGTTTAGATTATTATTTTTCTATTATTTAAAAGTTACATATACACATTATTTTATTCATTTTTTTATTATTTGTTTACTTCTTAATTTCTCTTCCTATGTAAATTGTTAGAATCAACATAAAATGCTTAGTTTCTATAAATGGCATACATAACCAAATTGCGTTTTTGTGTAACAAGCAAAACAAAGCAAAAAAAAACATTTCACAATATGGTAATTGAGTTAGTCGTAACTCGCATAGATTTAGAACGAAATAAATTTGTTGATGTTGATGAATCTTTACGAGACGCTGGTGAAGTATTTGCTACTGATGAATGATTACAAGCTGCTGATAAATTCGTTATTACGATTGGATGACATATTTCTGTGATGGGATTTCGCAATGTGTTTGAATTAAGTGATGATGTCGTGGTATATGAACGTCATCTGGCAATATCAAAATTTAAATTGTTACGTTGACCTATCCCGGCAGCAAAAGGAATTGGAACAAATCGATGCAAAACATGAAATTTGTGTTCCTCGAGATATTTTTTGGAGCAGAGGCATCTATAAATGACCCGTTTAAATGCAAAACGAAAGTCCTTGGAGAACATTGCATATATAAAAGGATTTACTGCTGAATTACAGTATCCAAGCCAGAATAACACAGAAAACAGTATTGGATTCACGCAATCGTCGCAGAAAGGCCGGATTAAGTATAATGTAAAAAAAGGACACCAGCAAAGTACAAACATCCCTAAATTGTATTAAGTACACATGTAATATTGTTCTTGAATTGTAAATTTTCAAATTAAAAACGAATAATAAAAAGAAGAACTTCACAAAATATTAATTAGATACAAGAAATACAATTGGATTTTTGTCTAAAAAAGTCCTATAAAAATCATTTAATGAGAAAACAAATTTTTATAAAAACACGTGTGTAATACGTCAAGAATAGTTTGGTGTGTGTGGAGTACGACAGAGACCTAACACGACAAAATTGAAACTACATACCTAATTTATGTTATAATTATGTCAGTTCCAAAAACACTTGGTTTGAATTTTGTCACCTTCGGGAATACTATGAGCCAGCATACATACTCGATTTTGGACAAAATCTTTGCCGTTCAAATGAAAAGTGAAAAACTAGATTTTGACTAAATTATTTTCTATGGAGTACTTTGATAAAAAAAATTTTTTGATGTTTTTTTGAATTGAGATAATTCTGACATAAATTACGCATAGTTTTAATTTTTTAAAATACATAGTGTAAAAAAATCGAAAGTGATTTTAATAAAAATTCGTTCACAAGATTTTTGTTCATACGGATCACTGGGTAATACTATCACTTGGCTAAAAATACTTGACATAATAGCATTTTTTGTCCAAAATTGCCTATGTATGCTGGTTCATATTGTCACCGAAGAAGACAAAATTTAAAACATTTGTTGTTGGAACTGACATAATTATGACATAAACTAGGTATGTAGTTTGAATTTTTTCGTGTTAGGTCTCTGCCGTAGTTCACATAATTTCAGGGGCGTAGCCAGAAAAATTTTAAGGGGGGGCCCATTTTCGAAAATTAAAAAACCGTCATTTTGTATCCTTAAATCTATATTCATTCTTCATAAGTTTAAATATTTAATTCATTATTCATACATTAAATTCAATTTTCCGTGCTGATTTTGACATTTATTTCATCACTTCCTCTACATTAACTGGTTCTTCTCTATAAATACTTAATAAAGCAATTATCAGATTTTCGTAGTGGGGGCCCGGGCCCCTCATGGCCCCCCCTGGCTACGCCCCTGCATAGTTTGCACATCTCTGCTTCAGAAAATGATTAATCCATTGATTAATCAAAACTTTCATACTTGAAGTAAAAAACTTTATTTTTTTAAAATTATTTTTTTTTTTTTGATAACATTTCTTCTTCCTATTTTCGTTGTTTCAAAAATTTTCAAAACTTTTATTTACCTACAATGATGGCAAGTGTTTTTGCTGCTTTTGTTTCCATGCGAAATTTCCTAACTTGGACTTTTGCACCACTGATAGTTCGTTTCGCTTTTTTTCCTGAACTATTAGGTGAAAATTCATTTTTTGGACTAAAATTTTCAAGATTTTCTTTAAAAAGATTTTGAGAATCAGGTAAGTCAGATGAATTGCTTTGACGTAGCGAAATTGGTTCCTTTGAGCATGAAGAAATCATCGAAACTTGGTTTGACGAAGTTGTTGAAATTGTTGGACTAGCTATATGGTCCGTTGAAGGGTATGATATGGAAATAGTAACTTTGTCTTTATATCGTGATCCATGTCTTTTTTTACGCTCGAATGATGTCATTGATGTGACACTTACTGGATTTGTCTTGAAGCTATCCAAATTTGTTATCGAGTTTGATACTGTCATGTCAGAGTTTTGATTTTGCCTCTGATTTTTATTGCCACGATGTATACGCAATGTCACATTTTCTTCATCAAATTGATTGTTTTTTCCACATTTTCCTTTTATTTTGATAATTTTTTATTTTATTTGTCCATGTAAGAATTTTGATGAAATTTTCAACAAAAAAAAAATTGTGAATTCATGAGAAATAGTATTTCGCTGTTTATTTTAAAAAAGATTAGGTTAAGGTTAATAAGGAAAAAAATTATACAAAAACATGATTAGAGAGAGTATTACTGACCAGGGCTCGTGAGGAGTAAAAAAAATTTTGATTTTCTAAAATCAGTTATTTATGTGATTGAAAAAAATCATGATTTTTCAAATCTACGTAAATCTTTAAGGAGGATTTTATTACGTAGACAAAATCCCTGCGTAGTGATTTTGATTACGTAAAAACCGTTAGGATTTTAGTGACGTGAAGTTGAAATTGTTTACATTTTTTTGGAACTATTGTTAAATTAAATAAAATTCGTGATGGACGCAGAAAAACTTTTTCGATTCCATTTTACTTATTCACAAAGCGATGGAAAATCTTTTTGTCGTCATTGCAGTGCGAGATTTGTTGGTAAAAATTTGTCTAATCTAAAGCGACATACAGAAAATAAACATCCGGAACGAGCAAAGGAATCAAATCTAAAGACGAGAAAAAAAATAAAAATAAATTAAGAAATTAACAAGAGGAGAATTGATCCAGTCTTGTGTGGAATTGGTGACACTTAATTTGGTTCCATATAATCTTTTTTCATTTGCTCCTTTTAAAAGAATTATTCAAATTCACAAGGTATCTGCAAACATTTCAGTCAATCCACAATCGATCCAAAACTTTGTTGAAGATTCGGCAAAACAAGTGAAGGTGCTTTTAAAAGATGAATTAAAATATAAAATGATAGGACTTAAGCTTGATATTGCAACTAGAATGGGACGAAGTGTACTTGGTGTTAATGCTCAATTCTATTCACATGAATATGAGAAGATAACGATTCGATCTTTGGGAATGATTGAGTTAAAAAACAGACATACAGCATCCAACATAAGTATTATACTTAGTGAATTATTGCGATCATTTGACATTGACCAGAGATCAATCTGTAGCATCACATGCGACAATGGTGCGAACATAATAGCAACGGCAAAAATATTGCAAGCCCATCAAAGTAGCATGCTTCTTGGAGATCAAATTGAAGAAATGCAACTTGAAAATCAAGAAGAGTTTGACAATGATGAAGAAGATGAACTTGAATTCGATAATAATGGACCATCAGATATGCCAATGCACATTAAGAAAGCACTGAATGGAATTACGTCAATAGCCGTGCTAGTTCGCTGTTCAATCCACACATTACAGCTATCAGTACATGACTCACTGAAGGAAATCAAGCAACTATTTGGCACTGAATTGTAAGACATACGAAAAGTCTTAAAAAGTTTAAGTTCATCAGTTTATGTACAGCATGTTCATTCACTCGGTTTGAAAATTCCTGGTCTGGATGTTATTACTAGATGGAATTCATCTTATTCAATGATTCATAAACTGCTCGCTGTAAAAGATAAAATTGAGAAACTTTATGAAAAGTATGAAAATTTAGAGTTAGAGGCGATTAAGCTGTACGATCATCATTGGGCATTTATGGATAAATTTCACAAGGCTTTTAAGCCTTGTTATGATTTAACTGTCAAGCTGCAATCGACACAGATTGGAATTGGTATCATCAAAAAAAATGTAAACAATTTCAACTTCACGTCACTAAAATCCTAACGGTTTTTACGTAATCAAAATCACTACGCAGGGATTTTGTCTACGTAATAAAATCCTCCTTAAAGATTTACGTAGATTTGAAAAATCATGATTTTTTTCAATCCCATAAATAACTGATTTTAGAAAATCAAAATTTTTTTTACTCCTCACGAGCCCTGTTACTGACATTATTCTTTTGAAATATTATCCCAGCCTCAAACAACTGTTATATAATTTCCTTTTTAACATTTTAAGTAATAAAAAAAGCTTTTAATTTTATAAATTGGTTACGACACTGGTAACATATTAGAAAACAGCCCTATCAGAAAAATTAGTTTTTCAAATAAATAAGCGAGTACCATAAATAAGTAAACATGTACTAATTTCAAGAAAATTTGTTGACTGTGCATAAATTATTATTGCAATATTAATAATTTTATAATAGCAATAGCAAAAAGTGGTAGCTTTAGGAAAGTTGAGTGTTTATAATAAAGCATGTATTAACACTTAAAACAATATTAACAAACAGAATTACATGCTCAGAAATATACTATGCACATAATGTACTAAATGAAGCTAAATTTTTCTCTAAGCATATTTTATATAAAAGTGAATGTATGATGGTGATGATAAAGCAGTAAACATAGGTAATCTTGATTCATTAAAATTATTGATTAAATCCTTTTTTTTTAAATAAAGAAACGTTTGAAAAGTTAATTTTAATTATATGAACATTCATGAATAGTAATGAAAAGAAAACACAAAAATTTTAGCAGATTTAGCAGCAAAAATTATGTATTATTTGATAAACTTGAGATTGAACCAAAAAATGAAGCATAAAAAAATTTAAGTCTTAAAACGTTATAAAATAAAATTCGTTATTTACCTTTTGTTGTGCGGAAACCACGATTAATTGCACGAGTGGTACGTATAGCAGCTCGATAAATTCGCCAGTAGAAAAACAGCATAACTAACATGGGTATATAAAAACTCCCAAACGCACTGTAAACAACATATCCAGCATCGTTAGTAAGCTCACACTTCCATTGGCACTTGACAAAGGTTGATGGAGTAATTGTAGCTGATATTAACGTATAATTTTCTCGCTGGTAAATGAACTCATCAGTCATCTGTTAAGAATAGAGTTAAATAAATTATAAAGCTCTATAATTATGACACTAGTTACGCTTTTATCAAAAAAAAAAAAAACATTTTAACTAATAATCATTAATAATAACAACAACTGTAAATAGATATGAGCACGAAGAACTCTGTTTCGAGATATGAGCATTTAAAAATGAATCTTATACCTATTTTCCTCTTTTAACTCTTGTTTATAAATATATGTATCTCTAACAGGACTTAGCGAATTTTCTCGCAACCTGCTGTAAAATTTACTACTATTTTACATTTTCAACTACAAATCTAACAAGATTAACGAAAATTTATTTTTTAACTTTATTTGTAATTTTCAAAAATGATCTTCGGTTGCATATTTACTTTTTCAACCACAATTCGTTAGGATCTATTAAAGTTCTTAAAACTTTGTATGTTTTTTCTTGAACGAAATAATTAAAGCGCTTGGTAAGATGTTACTTGTTGGTTTTCAAAAATTTGAACTTGAATATTTTAAAAATGTTTAATTGTGCATTAGCAGCTAGAAATACGAGTGAAAAGAAAATTTATTTTCAGCTTCATTGTAAAAACTTATAATTTTACATTACCAGCTCCGATTTTTAAGGAACTGAGTGAATTGATTTTTGGTGTCGGAGTTAAACTTTAATGAAAAGTGGTCATCTCTAAAAATCTGTTTGCAGAAAGCCTTAGATTTATAACAACACATTGATATATTTAAATAAAATTCACCCCAACCATAAAACTGAACCCCTATTAATTTTTGTGCTAGTGTTAGTATGAACCAGCAGAAATAACTTACCTACAGGAAAAAATAAATGCTAAAAACAAGGCGAGAAAACTCAGGATTAATCCTGAGTAATCCCAAAAATCCTTAAAAAATTACAGAATCGTTTTATTGATCGAGGGACTTAAGCGCATTTTTGTGTTAGCGATCAGTATATGATTATCCATTTATTTTGCGTTCATTTACAGATCATTAGAAGATAGAAGATCATTAATTTTAGTGCAATTAGCAAATAATTACAATGAATGCTTATATATGAAGGCTTTATTATTTAACGGTCAAAAAATAATTTGAAAGTTTTTTTTGAGATTCAAAAATTTTCAACGGTAGAAATAAATTCGAATTTCTAAACGCTCATCACGTGTTTTTCATATGAAATATAAAAATCATTAATTATAGTACAAAAACACTGTTTCAAGACTTTTAAATGCGTTTCTCGAAAATAAAACAATGGACCTGAGCTAATAAAACAAACTAGAACTCTCTACGATGTCTAGTTAAAAAGTTTTTCTCCGCCCGAACGAACGAACAAAGCGACATATTAAGCTACCTTTTCGAAACAAGTTTCAAAAATGCGCTAAAAATCCCTGAACCAATAAACATGAAAATGTGAAATCCCTTTTAAATCCCGAAATTATTCATCAAATGCATCAGGAATTTAAGAGTGATTTCGCATTTCCATGTTTATTGGCTCAAGGATTTTTTTTATGGATTTTTGGGATTTTTCAGGATTAATCATGAGTTTCCACGCCTTGGCTTCAAATATTTTTTTTTAAATTAAAATTTAAATTAACTCACAAATTGGTTTTGATTTTTCCATCCAACTAGGGGCGGAAAGCAAATTACGAACGAAAGCACCCATAATCCAGCAATAAGTGATTTTGCTCGTTTGGTTGACATAATACTTGGGTATGTTACTGGCCTAGTAACAGCCACATAACGATCCAATGATATCGCACACAAATTTAATATAGATGCCGTACATCTGATAAAAGTGAAACAAACGAATAAATATTGTACCTATATTTACTTTAAGTCAAAATTGAATATCTTATATACCGAAATACCGCTATTGGAAACCACATGTATATATTGATTTAAATTAATAAAAGATTTGTCTTGAAAGTGACTTAATTTTAAAAAATAGTTTAACGATTTCGCAATTAGAGATTGTCAAAATAAAAGACAACTAATGTTTCGGGTAGAAACCCAATGCGGATATATTCACACCGTACCATCAAAAGTCTTGTGAATATATCAAGATTTGCTCAGCATAAGTTTGAAGGTTTAAAGCAGAGATCGAAGCCGATTTTTGCTAAACTCAATTTTTGATTTTTTGATAGAAAAAAGCCAAAGTTAAATAGCTTTTTTCGCTGTTCCTACCTTGCCCAAAAACAATACCTTCTATAGGGCAGCACGGATCAAATGTAAAAAACTAGAAGTCTCTACGATGTTTCGTTATTAAGATTTCTTGCTGATTAACTTGCTTGTTTACAGAAAGCGTATTTTGCGATTTTCTTAGCAATGCCGCAACCAATTTGAAATCTGTTTTATGCAAATGATTTAAAACTTCATGCACAAACTTTTCTTCTTGGACCCTTTATAGTCAATTTTGCTTCGTTTTTTCACAAATTGCAAAAAACTAATTTTTCAATCTGAACAAAACCAATAAATTCACACGTGAAAACGGTATATTCAATAATAACCATCAAAGGCACTGCTTATATTTTTTCAATATGCTAATGCATGGGCAATTCAAATAAGACAGTTAATTAATTTGAACTTTGGGAAAAAAATTGAATTATGATTTTAATTTACTTTTTATTTTAAAAATTTACTTACAATAGTACATCAACTGCTAGCCATATTTTACACCATACATCTCCAAATATCCACACCTTTAAGACAAAAAAGAAACAATTATAATGGAAAGTGGTATAATATTTTAAGGACATCGTAGGTGATAACCACAAATTGAAAAAGTATACTTTATAAATTTTAAAGCAATAATTTTTAATTTACTTTAAATCAGTTAAAATCATTATCAATGATAAACTTTTTTATGGTCATCATGCAAACTTGAATCCAAATTAAGTCATCACTGATAGCCATCATGATTGCCATCATGTGATGGTAATCAGATGGGTAAAGTACCGGACTCAATTAATGTATGTAAGTGAGTATAAATCACTCGTTTGCCATCATTGTAAGTTCATCGAAATTAATGACAAAATAATTTCAAATTTGACATCTTCTTAATTTTCGAAATAAAACTATGATCTTTTTGGTAGTTCTTCTCGTTCATACTTTACAATCACTTTTATTGATATTTGATTTTATCCAAATGATCTTAAACCTATGCTAAGCCAACAAGTTCTTATTTTTGGAATTCCAGTCTTTATTATAGTCATTTCAAAAAAACTATTGAATAGCACCTTAAAAAAATTTTTAAAACTTGAAAGTAGAAATACTTTATAAAAAAATTTTGTTAAAAACCACGTTTTTCCCGTGGACTAACCAGTATACCAAACGTTATAGTGTTGGGTTCAAAAGATATTACTTAGTGTGAAATTTTCAAATTAATTTGAAGGTTTCATACTAGAGTCATGTTCGTATATGAATTGCAAATTTCGACCATATCGTCTTAAAACGTGCTTACATCGTAATTTTTCTGAATTTTTCGAAAACAATACATATGCTCGGTCAGCAACCATAATTTTTTGGAAGACATTAATTTTACGTTATTTATAGTTTTTTCATAATCCGATAAAACCTAATCGTACTATCAATTTGAAAAATAGAACTGAATTAAATATACTTCACACACACACAGCATAGCTAGATTTCAAAAATTAAAAAGGTGTCAAATTTTAATTTTTTATCAAGAATGTCATAAATAGGTCATAGATCAAAGCACCTCAGTAATCTCAAAAGATCGTCTGTGCTTTACACATATTTACAAAATTCGTCATTTCGTTTCCGTTTCAAAAAATAATACAAAGACATTGAAAAATTGAAATTTGTTCATGAAAATAAGTCAATTTTGAAAAAAACTTTAAATTATTTAAAGTAAGTATTAATCAAGATACTGCTGAAGAAGAAAATGAAAACTTCCTGAAGAAAAATCAAATCTTAAGAAAGCAAAAAATGTGTTTCAAAATAGAAATTAACAATAAAGTAATAATATGTGTCTTAAAACCGAATTATACAACAATTTATTTACAGTTTTTATCAAATCTGAATTTTTTTTAAATGAACTAATTTTGAATAAGGTTTTTATTTAAAAAAAACTTTGTGTTTGGTTTTTTTTGGAGCTTTTCTAATTTTATTCTTTATGATGGGTCAAAATGATAATTTCTACGTAAATCTTTTCTTAAGCAAAATTTTAATGTCTTTTTCATACAAAAATCAAAAATCTAAATAAAGATCTAAGGACTCTTCTGGTACTAAGTTGTTTTTAATTTTATAAATCGTTGCTTACCTTAAATACTTCCCACGTTGAAGAGAATGGAAGTACAGCTAATCCTACTAAAAGGTCACTAACTGCTAAACTTACTGAGGATCAAAAGAAAAACTTTAGCAGTGTATAAAACTATTAAACATGTCGACACTAGTGGCCGACGGAAGCGTATTTTCCCTGCATAGAATTTAAGAAGAAAAAATCAAATCAAAATTTATTTTGAATCACATTTGATCTCTCATCTACTATAAACCAGAGAGACGAATGGATAAAGTGTGGACAATAGCGTCTAATCATTGCAGGAAAATGCTCAAAAATTAACATTATTAATATTATGATTACCTATGAAAAAATTTGTTACACTCCTAAGTTTATGAGAACAAAAAACTGCAGCAATAACGAGGCAGTTGCCAACAATAACAAGTATATCAATGAACCCAAGAATAGCTAAAGATATAAGATTCTTCGGTTCCGTCCATTGAACGGATTCAATTAACTGATCGCATTCTGTTTCATTCATTTTGTTAACTTTTTATGTCTTAATTCAACTTGCAAATTAAGATAAAACTGCTTATTTTTTTTGAACTTTTTCATATCTAAAATAAAGACATTAAATAAATTTAACAAAATGCAGCAAAGTATCTACATTTTGGCCTAATCCATTAAAAACTTGATCTGAGCTTGATAGCAGTTCCTTCTTGTATTATCAAACACATATCTACCTTTAATTGATTAGGGTTCTTAGTATTTCAGTACGAAGGTTATTGAATATTACAAACATTAAAAATTTTAAATTATTGGGAACTCATTGTTATTAAGGCTTCACATCAGATAAATAGTCTTTTTTATAGAACATTTAAAAAAATATCGTACAGTATGTAACTTAACAAAAATATTCATTTTAAAATAGTAATTTAGTGAAATATTTCAATCTCTATCATATCAATTAGTGCTTGTTCATTTATTGCGTTACGTATAAAATTACTTTTTTAAAAAATCTTAGGAAATAGCGACTTATTAAACATCTTTTAAAAAAAATCGTTTCTTTACATGGTTTTACATTAAATTGAATACTACAAAAAAATCAATGAGAATAAAAGAAGTTTTTTCCTTAAACAAATCAAGGTAAGATACGGTAAATTTTTGATATTCGTAGAATCCTACATTTTATGTAACATGCTATATATTAAAATATGTGTCTCGTGCACTATGAAATTGCATATTATTTTTATATATCTTATAGTTCCCGCAAAAGTCTTCCGTAGCTTATCCTGAAAAAATGTATGCATTTAAAAAGCTCTTTATTGCTTTGAAAGTTAAGAACTTCACTGTTATCATTATTTTTGGTTATTGTTAACATTTAAAACTTTAAAAAGTTTTTTAAAAACATTTTTTAATTTACACTTTATAGTATTTGTTTATGGTATTACAAAAATAATTTTAAAACAAATTGAAAATTTGATGTGAATATGAATAAACTTTAAGAAAATGTTAATTTTTATTTTATACTTCTGAACTGTTTTTGAATAGTTTTCACCTCCGAAAGTTTAACGTTTCTCCTTTAGTTTTGTACAAAGATAATTTATTGGATGTAAGTGTAAAACAATCCAGCCACAGAATTTATATAAATTATATGTTAAAATACTCATTTTAAAATATATTTTTTATTCCATTCGTGACACACATATAACTTTTCTAAACAGTTTTAATAACTTTTAAGCATATGACGAATCTAAATTTAATTTTATGAAATGTCATGATTTTATCCTATTAATTTTACTTCGATTAAACATTTACTTAATTCTAAGACTTTTATGGTAAATTTATTCCATTAACACTAATGCACATAATTAGTCATTGACAATTAGCTTTTTCAATCTTTAACTTGTTTTTGCTTCACAAATCATTACTTTTATCACATTCGTTACAATGATTTCATTGCTTCTTCTTTATCTCCTTTTATTGATTCACATAAGTATCCATGATTTTTTTTTATTACAATCCAGAAGATTGTGTATCGCTTAATCCTTTATTTATCCTTATTCCTTAATTTTACATATGCTGTTATGATTTTACATATTATAACGTTTTGTTTTAATTAAAAAATTAATTCATTCTTTCTTATATGACAGTATTATGTGTCTGATTTAACATCTGTGGTATAATGTGAACAGTTTAAAAGCACGAGAGAAACTAAAATGGGAAAAATTTTTCACAAAGCTCACTTATTTTCTTACAGGGAACATACAGTATTACGTACTGAGAGAAAGAGAAAATAAGAGAAAAATTTTAGCGTTACGAAAAATCTATGCTCAGACACCACAAGAAAATTCGTTTTTTTTTTATATTACAAATAAAGAAACATAGTATTAATTCTTAGCCTTAAATAAAAGCACTCGCTCTAGTTCTCAGAGAGAAGCTTCTACTCTGCTCGTTTAATCAAACAACCTATGCTTTTCACAATCTTTTGGCATTTTTCCGGGGAAGAATATTTTTCTAATACCTAGTACATCATTTAATATCAAGGGCAATAGATTTTTTTAAAAACAATTGTATAAACTTAAATTCGGTGCTTGTAATGATAATATATCATAATCAACGAAATTTTAAATAAATTTTTCATATTTTTTTTACGCAAATCGTTTAGAGAGTAGTTGCGCTGCTTGTGTATGCTACACATAAGAACAAAATTGAAAAGCTTATTACATAATTTCTATTGTTATTTAAAGTTTAATTTTTTTTGATATCGACTTTTTCTCTGGTGTTCTTATTCTAGAGTCGCCTGTAATACAAATGATTTCAATATGTATTTGGAATTTATTCTCTTAGTTGTTTATTTTTTGGATAATATTATTAAGTCACTTATTACGTTATAAAAAAATTATTTTAGACCCTACCCCCTCTTTACTTTAAATGTATTAAATGTACAAGTTGCGAAATCAAGGACTTGGATCTAGGTCTCTTTCTTAAAAATCGAACGTAATAAATGAACGAACCTCTTTAATGTTTATAATTTTAAAACAAAATTACTTGCTTTAGAAAAAAAAAGGTTAGTGGGAGTAAAAAAATATGACGATTATTGACGATTACATGGATTGTATTTTAAAATTTTCAACTTTAATTTAAAATTCTATATTGAATGACAAGAAATGTTTTATCAAGATTATCGTTTGTAGATTATATATAACTCAAAGAATTTTTGTAAAATATTATATTTCATTGCATATAATGTTACTAAAGGAGTATCCTTGCAATAAAATGTCTACCTTAACATCAAACATATAGCAGCCTACAATTAAACAAAAGTAAACCAAAGCTTCTTAATAAATCTAGGTCAACATCCTGTCAGTTTAGTAGCATCTAAACTGTGTCAACAAAAAGCAGATGAAACTTTACATAAATGATTATTACTGAACAAACTTTTATTATTTTTATGATGCAAATTTTTTGTGGTTTTTAAGCTATTAAAATAACTTTACTTTTTAACACCATTTCAATCATCAGTTGAAACTTAGAAAATGCTAGTGTGTCATCTCACGTTTAAAAGCAAAGCGTGTCGCATCGTGGTTTTAGATAATAAAAAATCTTTACTAGAACGTGATTTTTGAATGGATTTGACATGCTTACATTTCTATTTATTTTTCTTATATTGTTGTCTCTGCTAAAAAATTTGCATAAATAATGAATGTTAACTCCAGTTAACTCTTTATTTAGTAATACAACTACATGTATTTATTTATTATACTTCATCATCTTGTAGAAATATTAAAGCAATATATTAGTAAAATGAGTTTTTTATAAATAAAAATAATATGTAATCAAAAAATCTGTTAGATGATTCTATATGTATATACATTGATTTTTCTTTAATAACAATTATTTTTTCCTTCGAATATCATTGAAAGCTATTTTTAATTCATCAATAGTTTTTTGTCTTGCATCTATTATTAGTAACGTACATCAATAAGCCACACAATATATCAGGAAAAGTTCTATTTGTTTTGTTGAAAAGTTATATGAACTTGATTTAACAATTGATGATTTTTATTGTTTTTAGAAATCGTGCATTCTGTATATTTGTTTTAAATAAGGAGTCAATTTTAACTGAAACTGTTTGTCTCTTATTTGTTTTTTGATAAATTTATAATTATATTTGGTTTTTGGGAAATAATGGCATATAAATATTTTATGCATTCAAATTATTCTGAAAAGTGTTAAAAAAGATAGAATTTAAAATACTAGTCATAAATCTCTGAAATACTTGTCATCCTTTTTGGTTGGAACATCTGATTGATCTGTACGAGAACAAGCCATAATTGGGCATTTGGGCAACGTTGTATTAAGAACGAATCAGGAACTTTAAGTGTAACGGGAGAAATAGGAACGAGAGCTACAAGATTACCAACGAATGGAATATTGTTAGAACGGACCTGAAAAATATCACGTCAGGTCCACAGAAGATTGACACGAGAGTCTGAATTTAATTGAAACCTAGATTAAAAGATTGGAAGCTTGATTCTGCATCACCATAGTGTCATGAAATGTATCACTAATCAATGTAAAAAGTAAACATGTATAAATACGAATTCTTCCGGACGGTAACGTCGACAAATAAATAATAATAATAAAATCTGTCTTTTTTTCTTGTGATTTTCTTTTTAAAAAAGTTATATTGAGAAGAAAAAAATAGAAATAAAGTCAAACAATTACTTAAGCCCCCATCGATTACACAAGAATTTAGGAAGGAAAGATGAAAGACAACGATTTAAAAAAATATTTATATTTTTTCTGTTTTGAATTTCAATGTGAAAATAATCAATCTCTTTTTTTATTGGATTCTTAATGCTCATTAGAAACTTGGATTTACTAAGATTTTACTCTATAAGCCTTTTTGTTTATAAGCCTATGTTTTTTAAACTTCTAATAGTCAATATTTTTAACTTAGCATTTTTATCCTCAACCCTGAACGGAATAAGTAAACGAAAATCTCTATGTAATGCATACATATTTAAACTGTTATTTTCTCGCTCGCCGTCTTCAAAAAACTGGCTGGAATCGTAAAAATAGGGTTTCAAAAATCTCGATAATTTTATCTCGTGCATTGCATTTGAGTTGGCGAGAGCATAAAGCTCTAAACCAAAAACATTATTCATTGACTGATCAGTCAACTGTTTTTCTTTTTAATTTTTTTGATTAATATGTCACAAAATCTTAGACCTTTAGAATGATAAAGACGTCATAAGTAAATGAGGTCGATTTTATTAAAATAGTAGTTATTATAGATATGCAATGCTTTTGTGGACGATATACAAAGCACAAGCATAAATAGAAAATTGCATATCTATATGCGTTTATACTAATTTTGATAATTAAGACATGCACACATACAAATGTAGATCTACAGTAGCGAGTAAAAGTAATTGGCCACTCACATTTTCTGCTCTATCTTTTGATTGGAACCACGAAAAGTGATGAAATTTTCACCAATTATTTCATTTTTTATTACTAATACACTAATATAAGTCTTAATTCATAATTCATTGAATTTTGTACAGTTTTCCCATAAGGGAGGTTTTTGAGAGAGCAAAAGTAATTGGCCACTTTATAGATTACAATTGTTCAAAGGTAATCATAGAATTGAATATTTATTTAAACTTATTCTGTTAACATGAACAATTTATAAATTTTAGAAATGATTTTCTTCAATATTCAACATTTAGTTCCCTTAAAAATCATGGTGAAATAGAGTATGTCCAAAATAGAGGTTTTTATGCATTTTTTTTAATTCCACATTACTTGAATTAAAAATAAAGCTAAGATTTACATTCTACTCTTCAATACCTTCATTTTGATATACAATATGCCATACTTTTCTTCTATTTCTCTCTTATAAATCATATTTAATCAGTACAGCATGTACAATTTGCAGGGAAACTGACATTTGTAGGTTCCTAAAACCTTATAACAGCTTCCAAAAATTATGTTATGCACATATTTCTATAGATTATAGTCTGCCAATCATTTTGATATATCATACATGCATATTCATAAGCTGGTTTAACAGTAAAAGATGGCTAAAGTTGAAGTTGTTACAAAATCATCGAATTTCTTAAAGTTTTCATACAAACTTTTAAAAATTGATCTGATCACTTTTTTGACTTTGCAAAACTGCTGAGTCTGCTTATGAATATGCATGTATGATATATCAAAATGATTGGCAGACTATAATCTATAGAAATATGTGCATAACATAATTTTTGGAAGCTGTTATAAGGTTTTAGGAACCTACAAATGTCAGTTTCCCTGCAAATTGTACATGCTGTACTGATTAAATATGATTTATAAGAGAGAAATAGAAGGAAAGTATGGCATATTGTATATCAAAATGAAGGTATTGATGAGTACAATGTAAATCTTAGCTTTATTTTTAATTTAAGTAATGTGGAATTAAAAAAATGCATAAAAACCTCTATTTTGGACATACTCTATTTCACTATGATTTTTAAGGCAACTAAATGTTGAATATTGAAGAAAATCATTTCTAAAATTTATAAATTGTTCATGTTAACAGAATAAGTTTAAATAAATATTCAATTCTATGATTACCTTTGAACAATTGTAATCTATAAAGTGGCCAATTACTTTTGCTTCCTCAAAAAACCTCCCTTATGGGAAAACTGTACAAAATTCAATGAATTATGAATTAAGACTTATATTAGTGTATTAGTAATAAAAAATGGAATAATTGGTGAAAATTTCATCACTTTTCGTGGTTCCAATCAAAAGATAGAGCAGAAAATGTGAGTGGCCAATTACTTTTACTCGCTACTGTATATATGCATATGAAATATTCAGAAAACTGGAGAGAAGAAAACAAACCAACTTGAAAGACCATACACCTAATTTAATTCACATTCTTCAAACACATCATTACAAATATAAATAAACAGCAAAAAACCCGAATGTTACGATTCGCGCTCTTGAAAATGACCGAAAGCAATTTTTTTATGTTGTGACGTCAAAGTCGCGCGCTATCTCTATTGTTTTTGTTGGGAGAAGAAAAAAATTGAATAAAAAATCCTCAAAATGAAATAAAATAACTCTAAGAAAGTATTTATTTTTTTATTTCGTTTTAATTTTTCATTCATTCAAGTATCGTTGTGCAAGATAGTCGCGTTTGTTGTTACCGTCCTGTCACAGTTATTTTCATACACAAAGATATTTTTCCCCGTCGTGTATCTATACTTCGGGCAAGAGAATAGTGCTACTTTTTAAAATAAAACAGTCGGTGTCTCTCTTTTTTTTGTTTTGTTTTATGCATCCATATTCTTTTTTTTGTACTTATAATGTTATTAAAAGTGTTTGCTAAATAAGGAAAGAGAAAATCATGAGAGTAAAATTTGTATTGATATTGAAATAATTTGTAGTGTTGCACAAGAATCATTTGAGATTATTCAATTGCACACGTATTAAAGGTGAATGGTTTACTCGCTCTCGCAACAAACAGAAGATTAATACTTGTGAATTTAATTAAAAAAAAATAATCTGTATAATTTAATAATAAATAAAAATAATCTGAAAGGAGATAATATTTAAAATTAAGAAAGTGATTTAAGTATCGAACTTGGTGACATAAAAAATAATACTTTCTTTATTCATCCACACAAGTGAACATCTTCAATTGTATTGAAAATGTGTGACGTAGATGTAATGTTTAATAAATGTGAATAATTTTATTTAAACAAGCGTTGTGATTCACATTAAATCAGACTTTTCAATAGATACTACAAATTTAGTTAAAAGAAGAAAATCAGATAAAATCTAATATGGCAACAGAGGCGCAAAGATTAATATCAATATCTCTAGCAAAGATTGCAACTTCAAGATGCGTGAGAGGTGGCATTTCGTTGCACAAGAATCTTTTAGTAGCAACTGTTTTGCAAAAAGCCCGTTATATTTTCATGGAAGAAGCTTTTCACATGGTACACGGTCACTATATAAATCAAACAAATAGTAAACTCATACAAGGATTACGTCATGAGAAACACAAAGAGCGTAATGTACGTCAATACGAAAGTGTCGATGAAAGGAATGAGTCAATATCATTTAATGACTCAGAGCTCGATCTTTTTTCAAATAATATTGATTCCGTTGAAAACTTAAATTTCCCAAATCACTCAAATTGTAATGCCACTGAAAATATGGAAGATCTCAGTTGTGATACAAATAATGAAGAGAGCCATTCTTTTAATTCACAAGATTCCCAAGCAAAATCATCACTAGAAAAAATTCAACTAGATGTTAAATCTAAAATTTGCAATCGAAAACGTCGAAATGCTGATTTTGAAATAAACAAAGACTCATCACTACTTCCGCCTAAACTAAAGCAAATTAAAATAGGCAGTAATAAAACAATGTCAAATTTAAATGAAAATGAAGAATTTAAAACATCAATAAAAAAAACAAAAAATTATGATTATAATTTAAAGAATATTACAAACAGTTCAACTATCAATAGTGAAAATTCAACAAATAAAAGAGCATCGTTAGATTTTTTATCCAATGATTTAAGCTCAACTAATAATAATCATTCACGAAATAAATTTTTGAACGTCATGATGACACCGTTAGATATGAGCTATTCCACATCTACAAATAAATCGAATCTTCCAATCTCACCAATATCATCATCAATTGATCGTATTACTTCACTTGTATCTATTTTTAATTTTGGAAACCTTCAACGATCCGTCTCAGCGCCAGATTTATGTTCATCATCACATCATTGTCCTGTTGATTGTTGCAGTTTACAACAACGTCAAATTGCTATGTCCGTTTAGTTCTACATTCTTCTCTCAGACTAGAAACATTGTTATTTTACTTTATTATTCAATCAACAACTATTAGAAAATTAGAATTACCAGTATTTTTTTTACCAGCAACACACTATAAATTTTAATAATATAAAAAAATTGTAAATGTGTTAAATGCAATGAGATGTTGAATTAAAATGTTATATTGGTTGAAGAAAAAAAATATAAAATAACTTATATGAAAGTTATAAATTCAACGATTTTTTATTTTTTTAATTGTGCATTCGAATTGTGCTAATCTTTATAAAAACAAAAATTTTAAAACCAATTTAAATTTAGTGTAAGGATCGTAAGGATACCAAATTTTCTGTAAATTTTTTTTAAATGATGAATGTTTGATGAACGATAATTTTGAAATTTTCAAATAAAAAGAAATGCATTTAAATGCAAATTACAAACTTAAAATACAAGTTTTTAATTACAATATTGTTTATATCTGATTTTTAATTTCAGCATGTGAAAAACATCATTAAAATTCATACAGTTTTAAAACCAATATTTTACCTTACATAATTCCTTAATTTTTTTAAAGATATGAAAAACTTGAAATCTTTTTTAAATTAATTAATTCTTTTCCTTCATTCATAATTTTTTATCAAATGTTTAATAGTTTTTAAAAACAAAAATGGCACATATCTAAGTATGTGTTATTTTTATAAAATAATTCAATTCCAATAAATAAAAGCTAAATGTAACCTTGTATTTTTTTTTTGTCTCGGCTAGTGCATTAAGGTAACCGATCATAGAATTAATAAAATACATATGCCTTTGCATCAATGTATGTAGCTATAGTGTCAAAAATTTGCAATTGTATTTATATTCATCTCATTTTTACTCGATCAAATAATTTTCTCTTTACTTGTAAATATCAATATCTGAATATTTATTTATCTTAACTTTTTCTTTTTTAACAGAATTTGTTTGAAAAAAAAAATATGAAACAGAATTTTATTGTAGTTTATCTATTACATTAATTTAATAAATTTATGTATGAAATTAATTTGAAAGTCATAAAAATATTAAAAAATGTGTAATGATGAAACTTAAAAAAAATTCTCACACATTCAAAAAGTTCAGCACAAATTAACGCATCATTGAAAATTATATTATAAGAAAAAAGATATGTGAAGGAAGGCTTAATCACATTGCACAGAATGTCGACTAGTTTTTAATGGTTCACAACCTTTGTAGGTAGGTTTTGCATTTCTCCATGCATCTTCTATACCAAAGTCTAAATCATTACGTATTTTTTGAAGCAATTTTATTAATCCATCGTACTGTTTTATTTTGTCAAGAAATCCCGTGCTTTGCGACACTTTTTCGTAAACATCAATTTTAACATATTTTCCAGTGACGAAAACATTGAAAATGCTCACCACCTAAGATGCATTATCTTTTGTATTATTATATTACAGAATCATTTAAAATAGAAAAAATTTACCCAAAAGAAATGGCAAATTCTCATTATATTTTTGAGGCACAAAATTTCAACTGATTTAATATTTCATTAAATGATATGTGGTTATATACTCTTTTTTTTTCATTTTTATCTATAATTTTAATTTTTTTTTTGTTATGTACGTAATTTACAATTACTGTGAAATTAATCTTTATTCGATTTTCACTTATATTAGTACTTTGCAACCTATGATAACAGACTTTTTTTATAAAATATTTCCAAACTAAAATGGTTTAAAAAATTACTTAAATATCACTTAATCTTTAAATTAAACATAATATAAATTATTTTAAGCAAAACAACAATTTTCAATTTTATTGTATTCGTTACATATTTTTAAAGTTTTAATATTTATTTCAATTGCATGCAATTTTATGACAAATTTTATTTGTGCAGTTGAAAAATAATCAGAGGTCGAAGCGAGCATAGCGAAGCGAGTTTTTAGCGAGTTCGCTTCGCTAAAAATTCAACTTGCTAAAGTCGACCTGTAGCGAGAAAATTTTTTTTTCTTTTCGCCTTGGCGAACTATAGCGAACTCAATTTTATTTTTTTTTTCGCTTTAGCGAACTGTTAGCGAACTTAATTTTTCAAAGTTCGCTTTAGCGAACTATTGGCGAACTAGAAAAAATTTTTTGGCTTCATATAAAGAGATGTCTGATTGCGTTTGTGAAGTATGTAATTTCATGCAAAATTGCAAAAAATTATAGTTCGCCAATAGTTCGCTATAGCGAACTTTGAAAAATCAAGTTCGCTAATAGTTCGCTAAAGCGAAAAACATAAAATTGAGTTCGCTATAGTTCGCTAAGGCGAAAAGAAAAATTTTTTTCTCGCTACAGTTCAACTTTGGCAAGTTGAATTTATAGCGAAAAAAAAACCTCTGAAAAAAATATAAGTGCACTTTTTGCTCTTCACTCTATATCACATGAATGGCTGAACCAAATTTAGAGATCTTGTTATCGTTGGAAAACTTAAAGAAGAGTCAATCATATAGACATATACAGCATGGCAAGACATAGCCTTAAAACGTGCGCAACGTGGAAACTTTGAGCCTTTTGTTTAGCTGCAAACTGGCACCAAAATTTTATTTCAGTATTGGAATACAAATTACTGTCAGAAAATTGCTAAAATTGCAATATCTTCACCATAATTCACCAAGTTTTCATGTAAATTGTAGCCTCTTAATTAAACTTTTCAACGATATTAAGATTTCATGATCTGAGATTTTACGAACATAATAATTTATCTTTTCTCTTTCTTCTTTTCAAGAAATACTCTATAAAAGAAATCCTATTAATTAAATTGTCAAAAAATCTTAAGAATTCCATAAAAAAATTCACATTTATAAAAGATGTACAGGATTAAAATCCAATAGTTTTGTTGAATAATTAAGTTATGTATATATTGATCGTAGGAATCTGATTATTATTGTAAATATTGTTATCGTGAAAAGAAGTTTATTTAAAGTTAAAAGTTCCATTTTGCTATTCTGCAAGGATTAAAATAAAGAATCCATTATTTTAATTATCCAAGAGGTTATGGGCCTTATCGCAATGAAGTTTCAAGAAGAAGAATCTGCAATGTGCGAGCGATTGAACTGCGGTAATTACCGTCGTTACTTCGAATGAAGATGATTTTGATCAAGGAAGATCTATGGGATGTCATCGTTCCGGGAAGTTCAAATCCAGAGGATGCAGTCAAAAGCTTGAAAGCATTGGCACATATTGTTTTAATGGTTGATAATGATCAACTTGTACATGTTTCGGAGGCTAAAGGAGGAAAGGAACCCGAGCGGCACAAAGGCTCCATTTGCCTTCCATATGGAAGCTATACGGAGCCTCCATGTTCCACCCTCCATTTGAAAATCTTCCGAAAACCTTACTATCATGGAACTTTGACGGAGCCAAAGCTCCGAAAATCCTCCGTGGGACGTGCATTTATTAACACCAAATGGAAGTCATACGGAGGTTTTGATGGAGGATGGAGGATCCATTTGTGGTAGTCAAACGGAGGTTTAATGGAAGTATTTTTCAAAGGATTTTTGGTACGATTTTCCACGTGTTTTTCTATGTTTCGCAATTTTTATATCAAGATTTGTAGCTGTATTAGTGGACTTAATTAAAGTACACTAACACTATTGAAAAATTTACAACTTAATTTAATTAAGTCGCAACCACAGCAATTTCTAAGTCTCGATCACACGCGTGAGAAACATAAGAAATTATTAAAAATTTTCATACAAATTAAACGACCCCATATAATAGTGATTTCTGCATGCGCTTGTGAAGTATGTAATTTCATACAAAATCACAAAAAATTATCCTTTTTTGCTTTTTTAAAGCTTGAAATGAAGCAATATGATTCAGTAAAGCTTTTCGACAATATTTCAATCCATTACAGTAAGATCTGACCTCTGTCTTTTAAAAATTCAAAAGCACGAGTTTTTCGGTATTTAATTTAAGAAAAAGCGGAGTTCATATGGAATCCAAATGGAATCAATATGAAGGATGAAAAAATAAGCCTCCATTTACTTTCCACATAGTGGAGGTGGCTTTCATATGGATTCCATATGGAGACCACCCTCCACCTTGTGCCGCTCGGGGAAGTATGGGATTCATTGAAAAGTTTTCATCACAATGATTCAGCTGGACATAAGATGAGACTTTATAAGCAACTGTTCAAGACTGAATTATTATTGGGTGGTGACATGCAAAAACATTTGCAAAAATTGTTTGAAATTTTGCAAAACATCAAGGAATGTGGTGATCATCTTGAAGAAACCATGATTGTGAGTGTTATTTTATCAAGTCTGCATGCTGTATATGATAATTTGGTGACAGGATAAGAATCATGCAAGGAGATGGATCTAACTGTTCAAAATGTCAAGCTGAAACTCATCGATGAATGGGAAAGGCGGTATAAAAATGTAAGAAAAGGATCTGATGTGTTTTGTATCGATAGAACTAAAATTGATCCAAAGAAGCACATCAAGTGTCATCAGTGCAAACGGTACGGTTACCGTTGCTAATGGTGAGAAGGTTGAGTACATAGGACGAGGTTATGTTCATATGAATGTATTTGTAGGAAACAAAAGCTTTAGTGAAGATCTGACTGACGTACTTCTGGTGCCAGAAATCAGGCGATATGTATGTTGTAAGAGCTGAAGTTGAAAGATCATGCTTGGTTAATGACAGAGTGGATAGATGCTGTGTACATGAATGGCATCGAAAATTAGCTCACAGAAATTTGTATGATATACTCGCGATGAAGGATAAAGGTTTGAAAATTGCCGATTGTGATTGCTCAAATGTGTGTGAATCATGCATTGTAGAGAAAATTTCAAGAAATCCATTTCCAAAGAAGGCAACACCTATTGAAAATACCAGAGGTCGAAGCGAACTTGGTTCACCAAGAAAAAATTTTTCTTTTCGCCTTAGCGAACTATAGCGAACTCAATTTTATTTTTTTCGCTTTAGCGAACTATTAGCGAACTTGATTTTTCAAAGTTCGCTATAGCGAACTATTGGCGAACTATAATTTTTTGCAATTTTGCATGAAATTACATACTTCACAAACGCAATCAGACATCTCTTTATATGAAGCCAAAAAATTTTTTCTAGTTCGCCAATAGTTCGCTATAGCGAACTTTGAAAAATTAAGTTAGCTAACAGTTCGCTAAAGCGAAAAAAAAAATAAAATTGAGTTCGCTATAGTTCGCCAAGGCGAAAAGAAAAAAAAATTTTCTCGCTACAGGTCGACTTTAGCAAGTTGAATTTTTAGCGAAGCGAACTCGCTAAAAACTCGCTTCGCTATGCTCGCTTCGACCTCTGGAAAATACACTTGATTGCATAGTCAGTGATATTTGTGGCCCTATGCCAACTACCTCATTAATCAAAATAAAACCTGGGATCTTGTGAAATTTCCAAAGAATAAACGTGCAATAGGTTGTAAATGGGTTTACAAGCTTAAGCGAGGTGATAATGGCCAGTTGTGTTCATATAAAGCAAGATTAGTTCCTCATGGATTTTCCCAGAAGTATGGTGAAGATTATGATGAAGTGTTTGCACCAGTGGCTCGATCAGCAACATTTAGGATTCTCATGTCGAAAGCGGGTGTTAATAATTATCATGTTAAGCAGTTTGATATTAAGACTGCATTCTTGAATGGTGATATCGAGGAGAAGATATATATGAAGCAACCACCTGGATTTGAGAACGGAAATGATGCTTGCAAATTAAGAAAAAGTCTTTATGGATTAAAGCAAGCAGCAAGAGCATGGAATAAAATTTATCATGAAGCAGTGATTAGTTTTGGATATGAGCAGAATGAAGTTGATAAATGTCTGTATAGCATGAAGAAAGGAAATGATACTTGCTATATGATTGTTCACGTCGATGACATTCTAGTCGCATCGAATAATGAAAAACTGATAGAACAGTTTAAAAATCACATTGCAAGTCTTTTTGAAGTAAAAGATATGGGAAGTGTAAAGCACTTTTTGAGAATTGATGTGAAACGTGATAAAGATGGAAATTTTCATATAAGTCAGAAACAATACATTGAGAAGATTGTGGAAGAAGCTGGACTTAATGATGGAAAATTTTCAAAATATCCTTTGATGACTGGCTATTTTAGGCATCATGATGAGAATTATTTAGAATCAAATAATGAGTATAGAAAACTCATTGGTAAACTGTTGTATGTTAGCACAAATACAAGACCTGATATCGCTGCATCTGTTGGAATATTGAGTCAAAAGATTTCAAAACCAACAAAGACCGATTTGATAGAAGCGAGGAGAATTATTCGCCGATTATTGGTATAGATAGATTATTGGTACCAAGAATCTAAGTTTGATGTTGAGTGATAAGAAAAAGGTTGGAGAATTAGAAGTTTATTCTGATGCAAGCTGGGCTGAAGATTCGTTGGACCGAAAATCTATCAGTGGTTTTCTTTGTGGAATTAATGGAGGTGTTGTTTCATGGTGCAGCAGAAAACAAGACGTAGTATCGTTATCATCAATGGAAGCTGAA